TTATTATTCAACCGTGGAGTTAATTCCAGCTAAGCCCCATCCTGTTCTCACCTGGTATCCTCTCTCCTGCCCACACAGGCAGGAAGGTCTCTAGGCAGCAGTCAGAGAACAAGGAGCTATTTCACAGTTTCATGTTTAATCGTTGCCCATAACTCTTTGTAAAAATAAATCCTGACTTCAAAACCAACATCAATCAAATCCAAACCAAACACGAGTGAATGTGTTAACGTCAGTAACTGGGGTTTAAAGTGGGATTTTTCTTGGATGGTGCAGTTACACAAGAAAGCCTGTGGATACACTCTCGTCTCTGAGACAGGTTGTGGATTCAAGCCTAACATCGGGACCTTGAAACGGACGGTCTAGCTGACATTCCTGTACAGCGCTGGGGGTGTACCGTCCTTCAGATCAGTGCTAAACCAGGGTCCATCTGCCTGTTCAAGTGGACGTTGAAGATCCTGTGACAATATTCGTCCTTCTATTCCAAGGTAATCTTGGAGGCCAAGGACAACCCCAGGCTGCTCTTATCCACCCAACCGGCTACTGCATCCACCCTCTCACACCTCTCCCATCCTCTCATCCAACTCCAACTCCGAGGAGATGCTGGATTTTCTTGAAAACAAAATTGATGTGATCCGTTCCCCCACCTCCTCCCTCCCAACCATCACTCCTCCCCATCCCTCCCTCACACTCTGCCCCTACCCATCCCTCCCTCCACACCTTTGAACCTGTCTCTCCCTCCTCTCTCACCACCACTATAACCTGCTTGAAGCCCACCACCTGCTACCTCAACCCCATCGCTATCCCTCTCCTTGCTTCCCAGCCCTTTTACTCTCAGACCTCGTCAACCTCTTCCTGTCAATTGGCCCCATTCCCACCCCCCTAAAACAGCTGGCATCACCCCTATCCTAAAAAAAACCTTCCCTGGGACCCATCCCTGTTCACTAACTACTGCCCCATCTCCAACCCCCTTTCCTTTCCAAGGCCTTGAAGCAAAGTTGTTGCTTCCCAGCTTCACTCCTTCCTTTCCTGACACTCCCTTTATAAACTCCTCCAATTGAGTTTCCGTGCTCTCCACAGCCCTGGTCAAGGTGACAAATGACATTCTGTCCTTGAATGGTTCAGATCCTCCCTCTGTCTCCTTGTCCTCCTCAACCTCTCTGCTGCCTTTGACACTGTGGACGACTCTATCCTCCTCCACCACCTCTCCTCTCACCTTAACCTTCAATATTCTGTCCTTGAATGGTTCAGATCCTATCTCTCACACCAGCTGCACTTTGTCTCCACAAATGGCTTCTCCTCCATCCTTCGCACCGTCTCGTGCGGCGTTCCTCAGGGCTCTGTCCTCGGTCCTCTCCTCTTCAATCTGTATATGCTCCCTCTTGGTGACATCATCCGCACACATGGGGTCAACTTCCACATGTATGCGGATGACACCCAACTCTGTCTCTCTTCCTCCACCCTCGACTCCAGGATCACTGACTGTCCTGACAGACTGTCTGCCTGACATCAAGTCCCGGATGAGAACCAGCTTTCTACAGTTGAATGTCAGCAAGACCAAGGCTCTCCTGATTAGCTCGCGCCAGTGCCTCCTCACCTCAGGCATTGGCAGCATCAGCATCCACGGATGCACACTCCACCTCACCAAGTCAGTCAGGAACCTGGGCGTCTTGTTCGACCCTCAACTATCCTTTCTCCCCCACAACCAGGCCGCATCCACTCTGCCTTCCCCCTACCTCTGCAACATTGCCCAACTCCATCACTGCCTCACCCCTCAGGCCATCGAAGCCCTCATACATCCCTTCATTACAACCTGGCTCGACTATGCCAATGCCCTGCTTGTCGACCTTCCCAACTTTTCCCTCCACAGGCTGCAGATCATCCAGATCTCTGCAGCTTGTGTCCTCTCCTGCACCAGGCTCCGTGAGCCTATTACACTCACCCTTGCCTGGCTCCACTGGCTCCCCATTCCTCAGAAGTTCAAGTTCAAAATTCTAGTCCTCAGCTTCAAGGCCCTCCATGGCCTTACCTGCTCCTACCTCTCTGACCTGCTAACCCCTTATCTACCTGTCCGCTCCCTCCGCTCAGCAGGCTCCAGCCTGCTCCATGTCCCCTGCCCGGCCAACCCGCATCAGTGGTCGAGTTTTCAGCCTCTCTGCCCCCATACTCAGGAACTCCATCCCACATTTCCTTCACCTCATCCCTTCCTTGCCTCCTTCAAGGCAGTTATTAAACGAGCACAGCTCCCAGGACAGTCCAAGGCATCCCACACACATCTCTTCAAAACCTTCCATTTGATCTTACGCTCCTGTTCCTAGTGCAATCTTCAGTCCAAAAACCAACTTCATTCCAGGCTCTTAACCAAAGTCATTAATCTTTGAGACCAAACTACTAAAAGCTTTTTAAAAAGCTCAGTACACGGCTTCCAATGCGTTTACCCTTGTCCTCTGGGCTAGTAATGGATTTGACAAAACACTTAGCTTCCTGAAGCCAGATTGGCTGTCCCTTATCGAGCTGTGCGTTTCCGGCCATTCTCCCTCCTTCAAAATGGTTTTGAAGATTTTGTATTGACTGACAAACTAGATGTCAGCCTGGCTCAGTCAGTCCCATTCACGTCTCGCAGTCAGAAGGCTGTGTTGGGTGAGAGATTAGACTAAGATTTGTCAGCCTTTGAATTCTTTTAACGCTACATATCTAAAAAGGACCAAACTATAGGGATGTGGGGAAAAGGCAGGTAAATGGGACTGAAAGGATTGTTTTTTTAAAAGAATCGATACATTATAGATAGATGGAAATCTTTAAATTCTGATCTATTTGAAAAGAGAAGGTAGAATCCCTTGGTGTCCTGGTCAACAATTTGCAGATACATTGGTCATTCATTCCCCTCATGGCTGGAAACAGGTAAACGCAGTAACCAATTTGTGCACAACAAGCAGTCACTCCACAAGAGAGCAGTTGCTGGTGAAGCACTTCAAGACCTTGATGCTAAAGGAACTATACCAAATGCAAGGATTATAACAATGAACAGCTTCTACCAATGGCTCTTGAAGCACCACAACAATTGAAAAACACGTCCATCTCTTGTACATGTTGAGGTGTGTGTGTGTGTCGATCCAAGATATTGGGTTTTCCCTACAACGCCGGTTCACACTGGTGCAGACCCTGGATATAGTAATAATCATCATCCTTGTTTTATTAAAGCGCTTCACAGAATATACTGTAAAGTGAACTGACTGTATATTTTGTGAGCGAAAGCCAATTGCACACCGCAGTGCCCAGAAGCAGTCGTGGATTGAGTGACCAAATTCTTATTTTAAAAAATATATATTTTGTCGCGATTATTACCCCTTAGACGCCAGGCGGTTAAAACGGAAAACAAAACTGCGCTGAACTGATTCGAGCGCAGCCACCCAGTTAATGAGGCAGTGTGTGGGACACAAAAGCAGGAAATTAGGCTTCTTTCAGCGAGAAGAAAATAATAAAAATGTTCTTTTAAACGGGAGCTGGTGGGAAGAGTGCTCAACATTCACAGTCTGAGCAGCCAGGCGGTTTCCATGGAAACTGCAGTGGCTGAGATTTCTCTCTCTGTCTCTCTACATTAACAGGTATCTGCGCTGCACTTGAGCAGATAAGGAAAATCCTCCTCAAACCCAAATCTGCACTTATTTGACATGCGCCGCGGCACTTGAACAAACGCATCAGGTTCTGTAGGAAATGGCGGAAAGTCATTAATGATCCATTCAGGGTCACAGCACAAGGCAGAGGCTCAGGATTCCCTCACAGACACAGAAGCTTCACCCATCAGCTCACTCCAAGAGAAACACCAGCTAATAATAATAATGATAATATTAATAATCCTTGCATATAGTATAACGCCTTATCATGTCGCTGAAACTTCTCAAAGCGCTTCACAGGATATTGTAAAGTGGAGTAACTGTGTATTTTGTGGGCAAAACGCAGCAGCCAATTACGCACAACTCTTACCAATGCACCGACCTAACTGAGCTGCCACCTGAAACTCCCCCCACCACCCACCACTGCTTATTCACTCCACCTATTGCCTCCCCCTGGGTCACTCCCTCCTTTCACGTCATCTTGGCAAAGCATTTTCAGACATTTCGCCCATGAAATATACAGTCACTACACTTTAGTGTATCCTGTGAAGCGCTTTGAGACGTCTCAACAACATGATAAGGCACCGTATCAGATGCAAGGATTATTATTATTATTTTCCATTAGGAAAACCACTGCAGTATATATGTGAGAGCTGTTACTATTCTCGTTTGGCCCCGGTTAAGGGGAAAAGACAAAAAGGGAACATTTAATCTATTTAAACTACAAACTATAAATATTTAAACTAATTCATCAAGTTTGACTTTTGTTGTAGTTTGACTTTTCAGCGTTCTGCCTTCTTCCTGGGTAGCAAGACTGATTCTCCAGGATAGTAAAATGCCATAAATGGCACAGACGCGATTGCCAGAAAGGCTTTTGAGCTTAACACAAGGTTTTGTGGTTTCACTTTATGTCCCCTCAGCAGAAATACGCCATTTCTCTAAATTCTTAAATAAAGTTTCCTTGTATCAATAAACCACCTACCGCCTGAAGCCCTATCCACTCCAGCCTGACTCCGTTATTATTCAGCAGCAAACATACGCACTGGGGAAAAGACACGCAATGCAGGAAGCTGTAGATACAGTGTGAATAGTGTACACAGTACTGAGCTGTACATGTGAGGAATATGAATGCAGTGTACACAGTACTGAGCCGTACAGTGGGGGGGTGTGAATACAGTGTACACAGTACTGAGCTGTACAGTGGGAGGGGAGGGAAGTGAATACAGTGTACCCAGTACTGAGCTGTACAGTGGGGGGGGAGGGAGGTGAATGCATGTACACTGTACTGAGCTGTACAGCGGGGGGGGGGGGGGGGGGGTGGGGTTGAATACAGTGTACACAGTACTGAGCTGTCAGTGGGGTTGTGTGAATGATGGCGCACACACTTACTGGCAGAGATGAGCGGTGTGGACGAGGAAATGGGAATCTGAAGCTCGGACTGACTGCTCTGGCTGCCGCTGCTCTCAAACGAATCCTGTCCCTCCGTCTGTCCCGCTGGGGAGGAAGCAATCTCTGCCAGCACCTCCAGGTCCTTCAAAATCACCTGCAATCACACAACACCCACAGCACTCAGAGACTCGGACACAAGTGGGCAATGTCAGAGCATCAGACAGTTTGCTCGCTTGTGGAAAATGAACTCACATCTAAACTGAGTCAACGAACTGAACTTTTGCTCACAAAATATACAGTCACTCCACTTTACAGTATATCCTGTGAAGCACTTTGAGACGTCTCAATCATGTGATAAGGTGCTATATCAAACGCAAGTTATTATTATTATTATGGACTGGAGCCAGAGTGAGCAAGTGCTGGCAGCACTGTGTACAGAGGAGCACACAAACTAGCTCACACGCACACACACACAACAACAACAACAAAATTACATTTATAGAGCGCCTTTCACGTCGGGAGGACGTCCCAAAGCGCTGAACACACAAACACACACACAGGGAATGTTGTGCACAAGAGCGTTCCCTCAACATCTGAACTTTCACAGTCCTTGCATCACTCTGCGGTTTATCATCATCTTTGCATTTAATCCAGCAGTTTTAATGTCAAGAGACCTCACAACGCTTCACAGGTAATTACTGTCAAGTGCAGTGACTCTGTTCCACAAAGAGGCAGCCAACCTGCACTCAACAAAGTTCCACACACTGCCAAGAAGTGAACCACTAATTTATTGTCTGGATTGTTGGCCAGGACAGTGGGAGAAACTCCCTTCTCTCCCTGAGTAGTGCCATTGGATCTTTTAATGTTATAATAAAATAATAATGTTTGCAGTTGATGTAGGGTCTCATCACATCTTCGAGCCATCTCAAAGCACTTCACAGAATATACTGTAAAGTGGAACAAAAACAGAAGTGGCTGGGAACACTCAGCAGGTCAGGCAGCATTTATGGAAAAACGAAAGTAAGACAACATTTCAGGTCCACCACCCTTCATCAGAACACTGTAAAATGGAGTGACTGTGTATTTTGTGGGTGAAATGTTCACGGCAGACAGGACCTCAGTTCAACGTCTCATCTGAAGGACGGTACCTCTTAACAATGCACAGGACTGGGGCATCAGCTTGCGCTGTGAGCTCAAAATCCTTAATGGGAGGCTTGAACCCACATCCTAGAGAGGAGCGTGGGACCTGGGAGAGGCACAGGAGGGAGTCTGTGCAACTGTCCCCCCTCCCATCCCAATAAAAGAGGCAGGTGAGTACAGTGACAAAACATTGGAAAAATGCAAGTGTCCTGACAATGGTGCTCTCTCTCTCCCTCTCTCTCAAAGTGGCCAATCTTGGCTTACATGAATTATAATACTGAAAAATAATCCTTACGTTAGATAGAGCAGCTTTTGTGAATAGAGAGGGACGGGACATCTCAAAAAAAGACCAGTGACTGTGTATTTTGTGGACGACTTGCACGCAGTAGTGTCCGACAAACAGCTGTGGAATGAACGGCCAATTTTATCTGGGGATTGTTGGCCAAGACACTGGGAGAAACTTCCTTTATTCAAATTATGCCATAGGATCTTTAATATCCACCTGAACAGGCACATCTGACTGTGCAGTGCTCCCCCAGCATAGCCCAGTCAGCTCAAAGTCCCAATATGGTGCTTGAACCCACAACCTCGCAAGTGACAAACTAATAATTTGGTCACTTCAACCCACGACTGTTTGTGGGACGCTGCTGTGCACAATTGGCTGTCGCGTTTCACCCACAAAATATAGTTAATTCACTTTACAGTATATTCTCTGAAGCGCTTTGGGGCGTCTCGAAGGCGTGATAAGGCGCTGTGTCAAATGGAAGGATTATTATTATTAAGTGTACTGCTGCTAGAGCCAGGGTGATACACAGTTCCTCCTCTATGACAGCTGGATACCTCCCTCCTGCTCATCCCATGCTCCACCTGTGGCACGGAAACAGAGACCAAAGCGATTCCCTCACATCGTCCAGCGCAGTGCAAACAAATTCCTCCCCTGGGCTCCCCTCTGACCCGCTGCCCCTCCCTCTCAGCATCATTACCCACTTAATCTGTCGCAACGTAAAGTGATCACCCGGTCACCTTTCATCTCATGTGTTTGAAGGTAATGAAATGGCACTTCACACACTGCTTTAGCAACCAGCAACCTGCAAACATTTCATCTATAATTCATACACAGGAGGCTTGCAAACAGATAGCTCGCTCTCTTTCCCCCTTGTGAAGGCACAGACTTCGCCACCATAGGATAATCCTATCCTCAAAGGACCCCTAGTGGCAACTGTGCCAGCGGTTGCCACAAAGCCATTTCCTTCTGCACTTTTAAGATCCGAGGCCACATCCCATTACAGCACTGTCTATTCATAACCAGCGAGGCCTCTGTGCCTGAATACAGCTTTATGTGGCACAATGGTTGGCACCAGTACAGACTTTGTTTTTAATACCATCAATGAGAGCGTGTGTTTCAATATCTCCCAATAAACTGGCACAGTACCCACTGCGGGACCAAGACAAGGCCGCCACGAGCTTTTCCATCCTTCCCCACATCGGCTGAGCTAGATAGACAAACGGGTAGAAGAAAAGAGCGGAAAATGGCCTAGAGGCTCATCAAGGGCATTCCTGTAACCATCCCCAACCTCCACATCCCTCTCCTTACTCTCATACGCTTCTCTCCTGTTGCCGCTCACCCACTCCCCTCCCACAGGAGCCCGCGCACCCACTCCCCTCCCACAGGAGCCCGCGCACCCACTCCCCTCCCACAGGAGCCCGCGCACCCACTCCCCTCCCACAGGAGCCCGCGCACCCACTCCCCTCCCACACCAGCCCATCCACCCAAGGACACCAATTTAAAATATTTGTTAAAAGAAAGGAGGTGAGGAGAAATATTTTCACACAGCGAGTTGTTGGGATCGGGAATACATTGCTTGAAAGGTTGGGGGAAGTCGATTCGATAACAGCTTTTAAGAGAGAAGTAGATAATTATACGGGGACGACAAGTTTGCAGAGGTATGGGGAGAGAGCGGGGGAGTGGGGTTGATCAGGGCTATGGGGGAGAGCAGGGGAGTGGGGTTGATCAGGGCTATGGGGAGAGAGCGGGGGAGTGGGGTTGATCAGGGCTATGGGGAGAGAGCGGGGGAGTAGGGTTGATTTGGAAGCTCTTTTCAAAGAGCTGACACAGACACGATGGGTCGAATGGCCTCCTTCTGTGCTGTATAATTCTATGATTCTATGAATTCAATACAAGGGAGCACAGCGCCTTGGGACTGAATAACTATGGTATCCACATTCGTAGATGAAGTGCAACGCAGGCCCGGACTAAAATAACTCATTAACACGTCTCATTCTCAATGTCTCGCCCATTGTTTAAAGCCTTTGTGTCGTGAGGTGAATTTAAAGGCAGGCAGCTGGGTGTCAGATTGGCTGTCATATTCGCCTACAAAATACAGTCACTACATTTTACAGTGAAATCCTGTGAAGCACTTTGAGACTTTTTGATGACACTATAAAGTGTTACGACAAAGATTCTTCACATCATTGACATGGGAAGGAAGGATCCTTTTATTTACTGTCGGAGCAAATACATTTAAGCAGTTTCATTGCACTGATCAATTTAAGAATGATTAGCAATACTGTGGAGCTCGGTAACTGAACAGCCATTAACCTTGGAGAAAGCTTTGATGGAGGAAGTGAAGTTACCACTGTGCTAATTACGTGTAAGAACTGACAGGTTTGGATGCTGAGGGCCATTTTGCTCAAGGTGTCATTGTTCAAGGAGACTTTGCTGCGGCTAAGGACTGAACGTTCAGAACTTACGTCGCAATGAGCTTCCAACTTGGGAGGAGGTGAGGAGAGAGATAGAGAGAGAGCCCTTCACGCCATTGGCAACTCAGTGTAAAGAAATCTCAGAGGAACACAATGCTCACTAACTATCCAGAGAAGTGATCGCTCGCCACAAACAGGGGTGAAATTTGGCGGTCATATGAATATACACTGATTTCTACAGTAGAGGCAGATCCATAGTGTTGGGCTGTCAGTCTCTGGTTGCTAGTTAGCAGAACACCAGCCTACAGAGTTTTCTGTTTCCTACAAAGTGGATTGCAAAAATTTCACCCCTTGAGAATAAACAACAACAACAAAGTACATTTGTATAGCGTCTTTCACTAATAAAGTCATCTCCTACAGCATTGGTGGCCAACCTGTGGCCCGCGGGACGAAAGTGGCTCACGGGACCGTCATAAAGCCCGCACGCCCCCACCCCATCCCACCTCCCCCCCACCCCAAACATTCGCACGAGTCTAGGTAAGTCCGTGTTCGATCAGTAGTGTGTATTTCCATTTTGGGGGGGATTGAATATCTCCTGATTCAGGGCATACATCGAGAAATATGCAATCAAGAACATTTATTATGTTGGCCAACCGTAAAGTCCATGGCTTTTCAAACAGGAACCCTCTGTTATGAAGCTGTGACACACTGCTCTAAGTTTCTCGATGTTGTATTGTCAACAAACTTAGCGTGTATTTAGTCTGTGACGGGCTGCCGTCTAAACCCTTCTCAAAGAGCGGCTGGAACACGGCAAATTCCAGCGCCCAGTGCCAAGAGCAAGAGGGGATTATTAATCCTCTTTGGGGACACACTCAGCGAGGGTGGGTACAGGATGGGTTTGGAATCACACGGGTTGCGCTGCCAGGATCTCGGTGACTGTGAAACACGAAAACTAATTCTCACCAAATGAGATATGGTTTGGCCGTCGCTTCGGGTTAGTTACTGCTTCTAAAGTTCAGGTACTAAAAGCTTAGTTCTAAAGCAGCCAGATATTCTATTCAGATATAAGGCAAGATTTAAAAAAAGAAGGGAGTTTCTCTCTCTCCTGGTGTCCTGGTCAACAATCCCCCAAATAAAATTGGTCACTTACTCCATGGTTGTTTGTGGGACACTGCTGTCACGTTTCGCCCGCAAGGTACAGTCAATCCACTTTACAGTATATTCTGTGAAGTGCTTTGAGATGTCTCAATGATGTAATAAGGCGCTGTATTATATGCAAAGGTTAATATTATTAATATTATAAGAACATAAGAA